GAATTTTACTACAACATAGTTATTTGCGTCAAAAGTGGAGTTTGGGGTCGGGCTGGGTTCTATTGGAATTAATCCTATGTTCTGTTATTCACTTAATTTTAATATATATATATATATATATATATATATATATATATATATATATATATATATATATATATATATATATATATATATATATATATATATATATATATATATATATATATATATATATATATATATATATATATATATATTATATATATATATATATATATATATATTTCTTGCTTATATTCTTATTTAGTATTCTTTTCTAGTTATGTATATTTTTTTATATTAAACTTATGGTGTATTTATTTAATAATTTCTATGCTGTGTCTTTAGTTCCACAATGTACATAAATGTCTTATATTTTTTTACTTATACTTTCCAAGTCTTTCATTTCTTTTCATATATAATATTATATTTTCTAAATTTCAATGTCCTTACCTTTCTGAAGTGTATACTCTGTTTTACTTATATTCTCATACATGGGTTAAGGTCTGAGAACCATGTTATTCTTAGTACAACACTTATTATACTTACAAGAAGGAGGCTACCACCACCCAGACTTTTTATTAGAATATAACACAACTCATGGACAACTTTGGGTAGTGTGGTATTTGTATAGGCAAGTGAGTAAGTATTATTTTCTGGGAACCATGTTTAGAAGGAGTAGAGAGGTGATACTTGTAAATTACTAATTCAATATTTATTAACACAGTGAGTGTATAAAATGTTACTTAAATTCACTTAGACAAGACTGGACCCTTAGGTCTTACTCTACCATTGATAAAGTAGATCCTCAATTACTTATTAATTCATTAAACACTTCAAGTGTTGTTTTTACTTCATTAGACAATTGTTGTGTTATTCCTCTGACAAATAAGATTCAGTAATTATTATACACGGTCAGATAACACTAGACCCTCAGGTCTTACTTTTATAAGTAACAAATTACACCTTCAATTCTTGGTTACAACATTTAACAATCATTATATTATTACATTGTCACTCCAGATGATTATATGACACTTGACAATATCCCAAATCAACTTATAACATCACATTCTATCGGCATGAACAACATGGTACTTTTCCTTCAGTTCATGTACTCAACTCACATAACATATTTCCTGGTACTCTTAATAGTTATGGGTTCACTACTTAACCAGGCATTTCCATATTTCTGTTAGTAATCCCTCAATCAAGATACAATAATACTTAGGCCCATGTAACTGTGAGGAGTGCCCCAGGGTATAATGGTGGCCCAATAAAGCACGCGTTCCCCGGTCACAATTATAAGATTGTGGTTTCGAATCCTGGTGGGGTGAGGTGTTGATTATATGTAGAAGTCCGCGTGCTTTATTGGGCTAATGAAATATATATGGATCCTCATGTTTCAAAGCCGGATTTGGTAAAACGTTGCTCTGATCACCTAAGCGGCACGGGTGGTCCCCATTAGAGGTTCACGCACCAAGGTTCGTTGAACAGGCTTTGTGTGATATATAACAGAGTCTAGGATCTTGGTGTCTCCTGGCCCAGAGGTAGCGTTCTGGTCACAATTATAAGATCGTGGGTTCAATCCTGGTGGGGTGAGGTGTTGATTATATGTAGAAGTCCCTGAATTACACGAAAGCGCTTTGGGAACTTCGTGTTTTCTTCTTTCCTGTGGTTATCAGCATATACCTGTATCACGCACAACTACAGTGAGGGCGCAATGGCATTCAATGAGTGACTTAAAAGCAGGATATAGTCAAAACGATCAAGCGACTTCAAAGAAGATGCGCTGGGTCGCCATGATGCTGACCAGAGATCGATAAGAAATTGTCCCAAACACAATAATTGAGAGACAAAAAAAATAAAAGTCATACTATTTCCTCACTGTGCTAAGTATAAATACCACCATATATAAAACCGTGGAACATAGTATTTCAGCTATTACAACACAAATTCGCGGAGCCTTTTTTGTGTGTATTTACATGAATCGCCAGGCAAGATGACGGTGGGTGCAGATGATGTGATGGAGGGTTTGAGAATTGCAATTAAATGCCAGATAGCGGACGTGTCCTAATATTACTTAATAAATTATTAGATGTTTTAATTGCCTGTATATTGGCCTGGCGAGTTATAGCTAGGCATTAACATATACCTAGGTTAAAGCTATGCGATTCTGGGGTTGAACAAAATAGACTTTTCCTGCACACAAAATTTCTTAAAGGAAAATTTTGGAGGTCAAAGGCTGAAACATTCCAAATTTCTATGGTATATGGTCCAACACAACATACTAAAAACTGAGGAAGCTGTGATAAATGAATATCACCCACAAGAATAAATAGGGTACGGCCCTATTAAAATAAGTAAAAAATATATCACAAAATTGCATTTAATAACCCAAGAGACCTAATAAACTGGACATTAACTTCAATTTAAGAACAAGACTCCTGAAATGCTATGTATGGTCACAACTGCTGTTTTGGGTCAAAATGTGGTTACGATAAATAATTTCACTGACAGGAAAACAAAAGATTAGCAGAAACCTAGATAAATTCTTAAATTTATAGAAAAATAAAACGAGATACTCTGGTCATATAATTAGGGGTGAGGGATAATGGCAGAAATATTAATGGGCAAAGATGAGGGTAGGAGGGCCAGGAAAGCAGAGACTGGAATGAATGAAGTAAATTAAAAACTGTTTCCCCAGAAAGATATAAAATCTTGGGAGGATTTGTAAACAGCCTAAACATTAAGAATGGAGGAGTGGTCGCCAATCCTCAAATATGATTATGGTACAGTGATTTATTGCAAAATAGACTCATTCTTCCCTACACTTACATATATTTTACATATATTATAAAATAATACTGTGGTAAAACTATTACAGTACTTGAGTCTTAACATTTATTTACATATATACATATAAACAAGATCGCTTCTAAGTTAAATCTTCTAGAACTATATTTTGTAAGTTATATTTACAGATTTGCTTTCTTTAAAGAACATTTTACAGAATATTAGTAAAAGTTTTTCAATTATGTCTCAGCATGTCAGTAGCATAACTTCCTGGCAGATGGCATCACAATTACAATGACCAACAACTATCATCACTTATACAGAGAGTTCTTCTCTCATTAGTGTATTAACTCATACGCTAAAGACCTTCATTATTGAAGCTCAGTAATGTTTTAACAATAAAATATCATCACATGGACTGTGACCCCAAAATTTACATCAGTATGAAAGGTACACTAAGACCACAAAACAATGATCAGTAGGTGAACAATGACCAGAAGGAAAGATAATTGCCAATATTTCTCATATATACTGTAATGGATGAATGGGGGCCTTTGGCAGAGGTTTCTTATTTTCTTAACTGAACTGATGTCAAGTTTTTGAAGATGAGGCACCACTGTTTGTTTACATCATGATAAAACTAGCAGAATGATCAGGTCATGTCTGAAGGAGAGGAGTCAGATTACACCTCTAGCAGATGGTTACCATAATTTTGACAAAAGATATCCAGATTTAAGTGTAAATGAGCCACATTAAGACAAAGAAATATGACGAGAACCATGGGCTACATTTGGAGGAGAAAGATCCAGTTTAAACTTGAAGAAGCAGAGCCACCCCGCGAGGATCCACTTAGCTGGTTTCTTAGTCTTGAGGTTGAAGGTCCAGACATAAGTGGCCACGCTGGCGGTCTTGTAGAGCGGACACTTGTACAGATTCCTGTTCGCCTTGTCCTGCGTGATGGCCTGCCAAGGAGGAGAAATATAACAACTGATTATAAAGCCTCGTCTCATAGGCTATATACGCCATAAGTGTTTAATTATCCTCTCTGAACCAAGATTTATATTATGTATTTGGTGTTGTTTCAGGGTGCTGTATCAGTGCTTGGTGTATTATCCTGTTGTAAAAGTTTTAATGTGTTGATCATTACCTTGTGTTACATCCCACTGTGTTACTACCCAGGATGTATCAATATTGTATTACAGTATACTTGTTTTTGTTAGGCATTAAATATCGATTTATTGCATAAACTGAATATACAAAAAAACATTATATTATATAGTTAGAAAACTGAATCACGTTGCAGATTTGACATATGGTTGTAATGTGTAGCCAGAATCAGTTGGTGATGGCCTGCCTAGTGAACTGAGCTGGTTCCACCTCTTGCTTCAAGTTATTTAAATAGTGTTAGATTTATTATTATCTAGAGCAGTTTATATTGAATCAAGTTTACATTATTACTTTAACGGGTGGTAATATCGACAATATTTACCTAGATTTGCCAAGGCTTCGACAGTGTACCCCACGAAAGGCTGAAAATCAAACTGGAAGGGTATGGAATTCGGGAATGTCCAGCGTGGATAGAAGATTTCTACATGACCACAAGCAGTGTGTGGTGATTAATGGCACGAAATTGTCATCTGTACCTGTAACAAGTGGGGTACCACAGGGCAGTGTATTGGGCCCGCTGTTGTTTTGTTTCTTTCATAAATGACATGCCTGACGTTGTACACTCCTCCATACAAATGTTTGCCGATGACGCCAAGTTATTTCGGGAAATTAAGAACCGGACTGTAGAGCTGCAGAAGGACCTCTGTGGGCTCCAGGAATGGTCAAGAAATGGCTGCTGAGATTCAATGTCACGAAGTGTAAGAGGATGCACCTGGGGCGTACCAACGGTAAAGAGACGATCATATGTCCCAACGGGATGAAGAAACTGCACTAGTTGAGACTGTGTGTGAGAAGGACCTAGGTGTGTATGTGTGTGTGGAGAAGAAGGTAAATCAGGCAAATAAATTATTGGGTCTTATAAGAAGGTCGTTCAGATATCTAGACGGTCCGTCCTTCGTAACGATCTTCAGAGGAAGTGCTTCCCCATCTGGAGTACTGTCACCCCATCTGGTCCCCGAGATATGCTAGGGACTGTCAGTTGGTTGAAAATGTTCAAAGGAGGGCCACCAGACTGGTGCCTGCACTTCGGCACCTCAGCTACCCTGAGAGGTTGAGCGCCTGAACTTGCCTAGCTTATACTACAGACGGGCAAGGGGGGACCTAGATGACGTGTGTAAGCATCTCAGGGGCACTACTCAGTTGAGTGTCCTACTTGGAGCTGGCGACGCTCGCCAGCAAGGGGTCACAGCTCAAGATTGAAGAAGCCGCAAGTCCAGAAAACCGCGAGGGCAAACTTTTTCGGAGTGAGGGTTGTAAACTCTGGAACAATCTACCAGAGAGTGTTGTGACGGCACCGAGTGTGAGCTCTTTCAAGACAAGACTTGACCAACACTGGAGCAGGTTCAGGTACATTCAGGAGCCGGTGCATGCCCAGTATTTGCCAACAGTGCGTGACAGACGTGACCGATCGCCCGAGCGGCTAGCGAGCCGATCTTTGGTGAAGAATATAAATGAAAAGAGACGTGACCGATAGCCCAAGCGGCTAACAAGCCGATCAGTGGCGAAGAGGATAAAAGAAAAAAAAAGATAACAATTATATAATTATTGATACTACAGTAACAGTACACAGACACTCACTCGTCTTTCTCTTAATATTTATAATCTGTTATTCTCTCATTTATCTATTTCTCTGTTTAACTATTACAGTACTTATTTATCTGTTTAATAATGTACAATACGCCCTCCTCCAATGCGTATTTGTACAACGTGAATTCACTTATACCTCAAAAATAAATTTGACTAATGTATTTATTGAACACGGAAAATTCAAATTTACGCAGTTCGTTATCAAGTTACGCATAGCTCCTCTCACATCTCCCGAGCAGTCTCCTTCAGTCTCGTTACTCTCGTAAGCTGTAGTCAGGTAAAGAGCTGCGCTGTCCATATTGATATACTTTTTACTTTTAGTGGTTTTTGGGGAAACAAACCCTAAACAGTATGGATCCTAAATGTACACTATCTCCAAGTGATGGTAGAGTAAAGTGGTAACATTAGAAAGATAAATTTAAAATCTTCAATAAGTTACAAAGTGGCTTCGGTGCAGCAGCAGTAGCCCGCCTGCCTTATTATGTTGTTAACTTGTAATGAAACTATAAAAGTTGTGGAAAATAATTATGATACTCAAATGTGGCTTAGAAATAAAGACAATATAATACAATACAGGAAAAATTGAAAAGCAAGGGATATATGTGTGTGAAAGTAACATGTGTGGAGGCGGTTCTAGTAAGGCCATAGCTAATAACGTGGCTGACTCATCAACCTCGTATAATATTACTTGTAATAAACTATAAAAGTTGTGGAAATATCAAAATAAGACAAATTAAAAGCATCGGTGAGTATATGTGGAAATGAATGTATTGAGACGGAAACTGAGTACTTTGAAAGAACTGAGTATTTTGGTACTGATTACTCTTCAGAACCGAGTAAACTGAGCACTAATTGATTACTTTTGTATCCGCTTTTGTGCAATAAATTGCTTGTTTTGCATGTTGTGTGCATCAGAATACATTTTGATTAATACAGTCTCATGTTTTAAAACATTTTTAAAATCGATGTGAATTCCATTAGTTGAAGCTCTGAAGTAGGCTGCTGAATATAATATAATTTTAAAACCATGAAGTAGATGGTATAGTTGAAGTTCACAGTTACAGGTGATAGATAGCTTTTGTGACCTTTAATTCTTTGGTTTAGAGCTCACAAGATTTATTTGGTACAACAATGATGAAATATATTCTTTGAGTAATAAATGACCTATAATTATTTATGTGGAAACAATACATCCTGCTTAGACCATTTGTTCATGATATTAGAATAAAGCTACAAAAGCAACAACACGATGACAAGTCCAAACTGGCCAACGAAGTACGTTCAGCAACCTGTAGTGGTCCTGTACACATGTTCGAATTGAAGAATACCATATCATTGGACAATCAAGAATCTCTTCAATCTACAATTTTTATAATTGCATTAGTGATGGATATCTTGCATAAACAAAGTGAAAAGTAATTACATTCAAGAACCAAATGGAGCAAGTACCACTGGCAAATGCCCATCCTAGTGACGTCTCGGTATACACACAGGCAGCGTGGTGGCCACGTTTATGAGTCAGCTGATGAGAATTTACGTGGTGAGTTCCCCAATTCATTAATTTCATTAGATATTAAGTTCTCAGACGCGGATTCCCACGCCGTTTTGAAACTCGCTCGCGTTGGGGAGGCTTACTGTATCTATTTCCTGTACATTGTTATAGTATCAGAATTTACTGATCCATCACATTCAAGTGACAGGTAACATCTTTTCTGTGTAATGAAATTATCAAAGCAAAAGTTTATCACTAAACCTGCTCCACACAGAAAAAACATTTTATCTAATTTCAAATTGAAGTGCATCTGAAAATTAATGAAGGAAAGTCATTTGTTTCAACAACTGGAAACACTAAACAGTTGCCATCCTCCCTCCTCTCACTTTGATGAAGATGACAGGAATCTGAGGATGGAGTTCTTTCAGGCAGGAGTCTATGAGAATTGAGTTGTCGAGGTCCCGGACTCCTCGAGGAAGAGTCCATGGACGTAACTCCTCCGCGGCGTGACCTGTGGATAATGCAGTGCTTATGTGGCTGACGTCTATCTTAACTATTATTGCTAAATGTATAGTATTACAGCAATCGTTACCAGGGATTAGTTATAATTGTGTGATTTGTCACATGATGACAATATAATGGATGTTTAGTTATACTGTATTAAATATTGTGTGTCAAAATGCAGATACTTATTTCTATCATCATTTGTTTATGACGTATTAGTGTCCTTCAATGAAATGACGCTACATGCTACTGAGCCTGTCGATGCGACAGGATGCGGATATCGTGCATACCTTTCTCCATCAGCAAACCTATAACCATTTACCACCAACAGCTAAATAAAATCAATATTACAAGTCCACAGTTAACTAATGGTTTTACAACTGCAAGCCTGATGCTATTAACCGTGTAATATGGTACATGCACATGTAAAAGGTTGACCTTGTCACGTCAAGTCATTTAAAAATACTTTTAGAAGATGTAAATGACGATACCCCCCCTCCCAAAAAAAAAAACTAAATTCAACACAATTGTACGGTAGATTCTCATGAAATCCTCCCTTTTCTTGGTTACATCCTGCAGACACATCTGGTCAGGAAGCTCACACTGCGGGCGGTGTTTGCAGTTGCTGTCAAAGGCTCTGAGGATTAAGCCCGCAAGCCACACTGATGGAGGAACCTGCAGCATAAAGCCACCTCCTGGCTGCATGAGTTTTAAGGAATTACTGAATTATCGTAAAATTTTATGATTTCAGTCACTGGGAGACAAGGTGACATTTCAAGCCTTGAGAATTTGTTAAAAGCGTGTGACTGTCCAGAATAGCTCTGTTATAAGGCCAGTGATCCAACCTACATAAAATCTTAGAAAAACATACATATAGTTTCCTTCAGAAGGCAGTATACAACCTCAAGAGTGAAGACCGTGCTTTGTACACAAAATCCATGAAGTAGGGTTAAGGTCATTCTAGGGATTCAACAATAAGCATCACTTCAAGAGTTTAGTACTAGGTCACAGATACATTGTAACATCTTATTTAAAAAAACACATTCATTCATAAGGTTTCAAACTCATTATTAACAATGATCCAATGTAGCTCTTAAATTATCAACTAAGTGGACAAATTGGACAGATGGTGCAATAGATAAAACTGTAAAGTGTCTCCAACTTCATTAGATCAGGTTCCATAGGCATGAAGGCCAGTGTTGGACAGATGTGGATATAGCACATTTAGGCCAAACCTTCTGTACACAAGGGAGCAGTGTGGTCGGCAATGCATCTCTGCATTTTATATCAACTATTAGGTTAAACACCCATTTACAGCATACCAGCTATCCTTGGGATAGGTAAATGCTGTATACTGTACACTCAGGTACACCCATCTCTATTGGCAAGGCCACAATAGTAATTCTGCATCCCTTTTGAGGTATTTTCAGTATCGTTGACTCAATTAGTCTGAAGTGGTACTGATATTCTAGAAAGGAAAGGCGTTAATGGGTTGGCGAGTTATTTTACAAATGCAATTCGTAAATGACTAAATATGTTTGATTTATGATCTTAAACAAAGCACCACAATTTCACTTTCTTTCATGAAGCCAATTCTAATATAATTTTCATTGTAGATTTACAAAACAAATAAACTAATAACCTGAAAGTCGCCGACCCAGGTATTCATCCTCAGGAGTCGGCATGTACCAGGCAGTGAGGCCAAGGTGGAGGTAGGCCCGTGCCGTCAGCTCTCTGGCACCTGGTCCAGGAACAATGACTACAGTTCCTCCATCGATGACGTCATCTTCAGTTCCCCTGTAGGAATGACCTCCTTGATCAAACATCTTGATTAGTTCTTCCACCTACACAGATCTCTAATGTGCCACATCTCTTTAACATTCACATTCTACTTTAGTACATAGGTGAGCCATCGATGATTTCACACTCGTATTTCTCTCTTAAATCCAAAGAACTATTTACTACCTAACATTTTAAATAACCCACTGTACATCTATGTTAAATCCCAAAAGAACAGGAATACCCCAGTTATCGCAAGAGTGCGTTCCTTAAAGTCATTTCGATTAATGAAATGTGAATATCGGAGCAATCACCTCCCCAGATGATGACAGGCAACTGCTGGAGGTTGTAACCCAGAACCAGCTAACAACAGCTGTTTCTTTGAACCAGACCCAAATGCCTTGGCGTGTGCCAGCTGTGAACAATTAATGGAAGCAATAAAAGCATGTCTTAGTTTGCACAGCCTACGTTGATGCAGATATGGGTTTTGGTGCTCTGTCTGTGTCTCGATGAGAAAACATTTGTGATAGTGTCCTTCTACAATTAATGTAGATAAGTTCTGATACTCTGAAATGGCAGGGCTTGGGTAAACACTACTTGGCTTTGTGTTTTGTCTATTCATACTTGTACACAGGGTAATATCGAGTGAATTTCAGGAAAGTACTGGATGTAGCAAGGCTACCCAAGTTAACCTGTCCAGTGGTTATGGGTTAACTGCTCACCTGGGCACTGGTAACTAGTGGCACGGTTGCTTACTGAGGTGACCTGTGGCTCGACTCTAGAGATGCAAGCAAGAAATTCATGACAGTGAGTATTCAGGTTATACATATTATGTGTGTGAGTATCTGTGGTACATTTTATAGAATTCATCATCACTGTTGGTAATCTACACACCTGGTATGAAGCAAATTACAACCATGAACAGGTCAGGAGTGGTATGTCCCTTGGCTGGATGTGGCACAGCGGACCTGTGAGTTAGTAACAACTAGAAATTTGAATGGCCAGGAATATATTAATAATGTGGAGACCTCTTTCTTGCCAGCCATTCTCCTCCCTGCCACAGAGCCACTGCCAGTCTGGTTTGTGCAGGACCAATCTCCTGCACCAGCCGGGTCATCAGAGACTGGCTCTCTATTCCTGCAATCCACTTGATTGACTGACCCTCTAAATGTTGTTAATCAAAAACCTTGGGGTTAATGGTGCAGGAATAGGCGGTGGAGGAGAATACTCGAGAGGACGGAGAACAAGGTACGGGAAGATTCGGTGGCATCGACAGATTTCAAGGGTTTTGAACTCCACCCATGTGTCTGCAAAACATTGAGGCACAGGGCATTGGACAAAGTATTAACTCTTGGAAGGTGAGATACTATGTAATTTTACATATGAAAAAACAAAACATTTGTCATTGCAATTGCACTTTCTTAAATTAAACCTCAGTTTGTTAAGTTCCTTCCAATTTACAGTGGTTACATCAGATATGCCCTCATTTTCTTAGATTTTCACAAATACAAACTAGCTAGTTTCCAAGTATCCACTTGTGGAAACAAATTAATGTTTTCACCTCTCTCAAACTTAATGACGTTACAACTATGGCATAACAGCGCTCTAATAACATAACTTATCTCTTGATAATTATCACCATGACTGCCACCCAATACCACTATCATAACTACTATACACAATCAACACTAATACTCACCACTATCACCACTCATCCATAATCTCTGTTAAACATTATCACAAACATCAACCATCACTACCACCACTGAACAGCAACATCTACCACCCTCCTTCACCATCACTACAATGGCACGACATCATTCATCACCACCACATATCCTATCCCCCCACACACCTTTATTTCCTGTCTCTTCTGTTTGACAATGTTTACGTCTATATCCCGTCATTTTATAGTAATAATCATTATATATTTTGTTAATACTGTACTGTTACCTATCCATATAACTGATTTTGTCCAGTGTCGTTGATTTATATATAGGATGAACAGAAATACCTAATTTGTAATGAACACAGTCAAGGTTACAGTTCCTTTAACAATGTAAATACAATAAAATTCAGAGATCAGAAATAATTTCCCCATAATCATAATCATCCTTAGAACACCAATACAGTGCACACAAAGTATTGCATCTATCACCCATCCCGAAGTTTTCATTATCATTTTACATATCATTATTATGAAACATAAAACTTAAATAACAAATTGCCATCATTAATCTTGCATCGTCTGGCAACTTACTGACTTACCAAAGTTTGGTTGCCAGGCCCTTCTGGATCTAGCTACGACAAGGGCTGGATGCAATTTTGGATCGCAACTGTACGTCTCTTCTTTGGAAGATGTGCTAATTAATTTTGGAGCACTGATTGACCCTACCTATATATGAAGAGTGTACATCTGATGAGGTGTATTTGGGCAGTACTGTTTAGTATTTGAAAGTCCTGTCCCCTGCCCAGTGTTTGACTTTCACTAAGTCATCCAGAGCCATTCTCTGGCAAACACCATTAATGCATTCTACAACCTATTCACTCATACAGTTACTGCAGTCAGCTGCTATTATGGGACATTAATACATTTTAACCTTAGTAAATTAATGTGGGAGTGAATTTACTAGGAGTAAACTATTTCCGGGAGTGAAAATGTTGATGTGAAAATACTGGAGACCTATTCTATATCTTCAAGACCTACTCAAGGTGCCATTCCTATGATAACTACTGAAAGCGTTATGATGCCATACCTTAAAGCCCAGGTCGAGCTCCTTCAGAGTGGAGCGGATGTTGCGTGTAAGTAGGTTCATCCTCTCACACTCCTGGAAGCAACCACCACATACGGTGCGCTCTTCCACCTTTCCCGTGATGTCCACCATGTTGAACTCCTCCGGTAGCTTCTCTATGATTTCATCCAGTGTTTGTTTCACCTGAAAGGGCGTGACCACCGTGAGTCTCAGTTACACTGGTAACTCAATAGATCAAAGATTAAATCTCTTGCCGGGTAGGTCAAATGAGCTGTTAAGAATATCATCTCATGAAAAATTTCTGAACACTCACCATTATCATAAAACTTATTTCTTTGTGTTTGAATAAAATTATTTTCCAAGTAATATTCCTTGAATTGTTTACTGTCAAATATCTTGTTCTTAATATTATGAGTTTCAGAAAGAAGATTAGTTGACTATTTTGATCTTCATTCATTTGTTTCAGCACGGTTATAATGAAGTAGGGCATTTTATTGAAGCTCTTAGTATGATATGTACACAAGATCGAAAAAGTATCTATGTACATTAAATCCAATGATTCCTAAATGATCAATACACCTATGCCGCAACATAACTACTAATATGAATACGCAACATTTTTTTGCAAGATTAATTTATTTTCTTTCGAATTTGCATATAAAAAAAATCACTTGCAATATAAGGCATTTTACAATATCCATCATCTGTGTGTACAAGGAAATCGTAAATAATTCTTCATAGTTGTTGGATAGAGAAAATACAAAAAATAGATTAAAGGTGAAGTCAGCCTTTTATACAAACTTTTAAACAGAAAACAGTAGACCATGAGTACATAGTTGCTGTGACCTTGTCTTCTCTTGTGATGACCACGCCTCAGAGTTCCCCATATCCCTTGGTTGCAGCTCAAACACCGTCTTAAACAGGTGCTCGATGTCATGGTCAGAAAGCAATTTCTGCATTGGGATGAAGGCCATACAGATGTGGAGATTCAGCGGGCAAGCAGGTGTCAATGTAGCTGTGATAGCCAGAGTAGTCCAAGTTCGGTGGTGTGGGGCCTGGGCGAGGTTCAACTCCCCGTCAAGCTGTAAGAGATGAGTGTTTGTTGGCTGAACTGATAAAATTTTATACCATTGGTGTTGCATGTATAATATCAATGGATGAATCTAAATAAATTTTCTTCAAGGTAACAGAGTTGTAATTGTTATGGGTGTTTCATCATTGTTGATATCTTGAATCATTATTAAACATACAATTGTATTACTTGCATTATCATTATTACTATTTTATTATTAGTATTATTGTTATTATTCTCAATAATAGTGTGTGTGTGTGTGTGATTAAACAAACATTTTTAGATTCATTCTGTACATACAAAACCTGATTTATACCAATGCAAGTGTGATATACATTTCCTATAGTACTTGTATATTGATATCTGTAGAGACAAGTTACCTGGTCAGGTGCAGGAACTCCTCCAGGTAGGTTCGACAGAGAACACGGTCCCAGTCGTCAGTGATGTGGCCGCCATACATGATCTCCCCGAACAGGTAGCGGAGATCCTCCCATGGCACCTTGCTATTGGCCTCCAGGTAATTGCACAGCACATTAACGCTGATGGTTAGGTCACCTAGAGGAAGTTCACGGGTAACGAACATTTTAAACTTTATAACAATTATTGTTCAAAATTCAACATTAGCAATCTCAGTAACACTCTTGACTTCGAGTTGTATCTCAGGAGTTAATTGTGTGAATATGAATGTATTTTGAGTTGTGGATATGTATAATCTGATGACTTAAAAAGCCAGTTCTTATTTCGTATATCTGATGTAAAAGTGTTAGAATGGTATTTAAATGCAAATATTGTTTGCAGTTGTTTGTAAATAAAATGCTTTACTGTTTAGCTTTGGTTGTAGTACATAGAGGCTAAAAAAGTAATACAAAGGTGACAAAGTTGATGACAGATCACTGGGAAGAAGGCATTTAGATGGTTTAGTTAGGAAGACTCCTGACAGTGTGGTGATGGGGGCAGGCGCTTTTAGCACTGTGAAGCAAAAAAATGTGTAAAGGCAGTGTACTGTATGTTATGTTATTAATGTTATTACATATGTATTATTTTTCTTTGTTAGTTATGGTCATCAGTCAAAGATTAAAGAAATACATCTCTTTTGTAGTATAAATGACTGAATGTCATGTGTTTCAGTATCATAAATGTTTGTGAAATAAATGGACATTCATAGTCTCACCAGTCTTGATGTGCAGAATGAATGGATACGAAGTGTACCTCAAGGAAACTGTTCATTGTATTCAACAGTCCCTCTAAACAGTGATTAAGTATGAAGATTTGCAAGATCTGATTTATTTGATCCATTTATGTGATCAATTACAGTACATAGTTAAAGATGACAGTTATAAAACTATGAGAAAATGTAGGTTAATACTCTTGTCACTGTTGTTTACATCAGCTGCAAATTACGATGGACAAGGTGATCATTAAATGTTCTACCTGTGTTGAAGGGGTATGGTCGGTTCCAGCCTTGGGCGCAAACTTTCTCCGCTCGGCAACGCAGGCGTGGAAGTAACACAGGAGAAGGATGGACTTAAACTCGGCTTCCTTAGAGCACATCTCGAGGTCTCCTGCGTGAAGTTATAGGGCCTTGTGGAGGTTGGCCTGCATGCCCTGGGCGGCTCATTAGTGATCTTGATGGCCGACTCCAAGGATGCCCTGAGATAGGACAGAAAAACTTACAGACATCAAAATTTGCCCTCAACGAATATCATGTGTGTCATAGGAGGTCAAGTGTAAGATGGAGGTTGTGACTTTACAGCTAACCCATCGAATGTTAAGTTTCAATTAAGTGGGAGAATGGAAGGTTAAATACCTAATCTGAGGCAAGATGTAATTATTGAAAAGAAAGTTAGGTACCCAAGGCAGGATGCAGTTACAAGAGGGTTACATTATGAGTGATGTAGTTAATAAAGGGTTAAGTTACCTGAGGCAGGATGTATTTGAGAGATGGATTATGTTACCAGAGGCAGGATATACTTAACAAGAGGGTTAAATTATCTAAAATAGGATATAATTTGCAAACAAATTTAAGTTACCTGTGGAGGATATAGATAACAGAAGAAATAAATTTCCTGAATCAGGAAGTAGTTAACAGAGGCATTAAGTCACCCGAGGAGAATGTAATTAACCAAAGGGTTAACACACCTGAGTAGTTAGCACAAGAGTTATGTTACCTGAGGGCAGAATGTGGTTCTCAGGTCTGTTTGCAGGTTCAGCATAAAGACGCGGTAGTCTTGGTGGGCAGCGTCTGAATGAGCCTCCAGCTTCTTCTCAACCTCGGCAACCACTGACGCACCAGGTGGATGTTCTGTAAGAGGATATAATGATGTTTGTACAGCCAGGTGGATGTTCTGTAGAGGAGATAATGATGTTTGTACAGCCAGGTGGATGTTCTGTAGAGGATATAATGATGTTTGTACAGCCAGGTGGATGTTCTGTAGAGGAGATAATGATGTTTGTACAGCCAGGTGGATGTTCTGTAAGAGGAGATAATGATGTTTGTACAGCCAGGTGGATGTTCTGTAAGAGGATATAATGATGTTTGTACAGCCAGGTGGATGTTCTGTAGAGGATATAATGATGTTTGTACAGCCAGGTGGATGTTCTGTAAGAGGAATAATGATGTTTGTGCAGCAGGTGGATGTTCTGTAAGAGGATATAATGATGTCTGTACAGCCAGGTGGATGTTCTGTAGAGGATATAATGATGTTTGTACAGCCAGGTGGATGTTCTGTGGGGGATATATAATGTTTGTACAGCCAGGTGGATGTTCTGTAAGAGGAGATAATGATGTTTGTACAGCCAGGTGGATGTTCTGTAAGAGGATATAATGATGTTTGTACAGCCAGGTGGATGTTCTGTAAGAGGATAATGATGTTTGTACAGCCAGGTGGATGTTCTGTAAGAGAAACACATGTTTGAACTGCCAATTGGATTTTGTGTAAGGGGAGGAAAGATGTCCGAACAGCCAGGTGGATATTGTGGAAGAACAGATTTTTGTACTACCTGCACCAGGAAGACTGAATACTTGTACTATCAGTTAGGTGTTAGGAAGGACTGTATGGAAGAATAATGACAGTTGTAGCCAAACTCTCTCAAAACCTGGCAGTATTTAGCATCTATATGGGTCATGCATGTGAGACCAGATGGTGCACACTACTCTTTAATTTATATGATATCATATAGTTATGGGTCATAAATGTTTATAGCCAAAAGGCATTCTTTTTTTTTTTACTATAATTACGTCCGATTAACAACATGCAAAACTGTCATCGTCATTACTGTTTTACAGCCATTTTCCACGCTTGTGTGGGTCAGTCATAGTACCTAATGGCAGCCCTCAAAACTGCACAGTAACTACAACAGATATGAACATCCTAATCTACCTTACCTATATGACCCTAAAGTGCTCAAGAACATTGCCTTGCCGTGCATTCAGAGGATACAGTTCCATCAACCCTAATAGTTTACCAGCCTTAATGAGGAGCTACAAGAAATTTTACCTGCAGGATGACCCAATGACCTTCTTTTGAGCAATCTTGAGGGCCTCCTCAGCGACCTTTCCTGACCTTGGCCGAGACACGTTGTGAAGGCGACGGTTTTCCTAGTGTATGCCGAGACGCTCGCCCAGACGCTCCACCTCCTGGGTACAGAACACATGAGGTAGTCAACAACCTTTTCTCCCTTTTTTTATAGTAATACCCTCATTTTAACTAGAACAAAAACAGTAACAGAGTTAGAGAAATGTTTAATATGTACAACCATACAAGACCTGTTGCATGTAGGGCAACAATGGTAGTGGAATACAATTGATTAGTTATGATATGATGTGTAAGTTCATGAAATAATAAGTAATTTCTCACACCGAGTCCTGAATCATGATATATGAAGACTGTCATCACAGGCTAACAAATGTACATAATTATGACTTAAGCTCACTGATGTTCTATGTACTAGTAACTAGACAATGTTAAAGTTTGAAGACACAAAATTAATGATGATGCTGAAGGCACGATTGTATATTAAAAATTAAATATTTAATTTATGACACAGTTTGATGTACAGTATGTGAACATCAAATTTAAAACAACAATTTTACACACAAAATTCCTTAACTAAAGAAAATCATTATCAAGTAACACTTTTGTGCAACAAGTTTATGACAGTCGCGTCACGGTGTACTGACCACAGTCATACATGTTAGTTAACTTAAAATCAGCAGATTAATATCATGCCCAATAGCCTATAAAACATGTAGCTATAACTTATTTCTTGAGTCCCCCACTGAGATGTCTGTTTTCTCTCATCTGTTTCAGAATGTTAAAAATCTCATGTTGTGTTTGTATAATTGAAATTACGAATAAATACGTATGTGTAACTGTATGACAAAATATACCTGCTTATAGCTGAAACATTCAACATCCATTGTGGTGATGTTGGCTTCAACTGTATTTATTTTTAGTGAAATTGTCAAGTAAATCGAGTGTTAGCATTTGCAATAGAGGTTGAGAATCCTGTCTCCCCTGTGAGAAGTTAAAGATTTCTATTCATCACTGAAGTCAGATTGTTTTGATTCACAGTCATCAGAGTTATGCCAACTGTACTGAAAGTATTGTCAGTTTTGTATTTAAGAAAGTCATTAATCATTTGAAGAAACCTGTCAACTGCTCACTGTCCTGAAATATAACGGCTGGGAATGAACACACCTTGTTCCCTTCAAGCTGAGTCAGCACGAAATGTGATTGCCAGTCTTTGTATTTATTTCAATTTAATTATTGCATTGCAAACTCACACTGATTACCTTGTAAGTATTAACCTTAATAAATTGATGTGATCCATGACACTGATTCTCATGGCCCAATATATACCACAACCGAGTCAAATGAATATGTATGTAAGTTCTTGTTGTGGCATCATGGCGTATATAACTGACGTATGAGAGCGCACCTGACGCTTACGACGCTGCCTGCTGTTTGTCGCCGCCAGGCGGTTTGTTAATCCTCGCGGTAGATCTGTCTTCATAATCTCTTTATTCTTCTGAACCTCTTGTGTTTTCACTTCCTGACGCTCCTTCCTCGTCTATCAGGTACGTACCGTGTCACACACCGCCATATTAAGTGAATTTAACTCAGTTGAACTTTATTGAATATATCAGTATTCTTGTTTAACGTAGTTGAATGTCTTAGGTATCAAATGATACTGCAATGTAACTGGGTGCCTTCTGTGTTGAATGATCCATTTGTTCTCTGCCAGATGTGTTTTGTCACATTTTGTATTTTGACTTCAGCTACTTCTTGACGCTCCTTCCTTGTCTATCAGGCACTGTATGTGTTTTTGCGGCTGCCGAGGATCGGTAGCCGCCTAGTATTTTTAATTCATCGAATTAAGATCTGAGTGCAACACGAGCGGAGCCAGTCAAAGGAGATTGAGCCCTGGAGCACAGGCCTGCAGCGGCTAGAAGTTAAGCCGCATGGCATTTGTTTTAAATATCAGGTGTACTCATCCTGGCAGTATGTGCTAATGATTATTGTGTACAGTATTGTGGATGAGTTATTAGGAAACTACTGGTGATAGTAATATTTACTATCACCAGTATTGGTTTGTGATGTATGTGAGTGAACCAGGTGTACTCACAGCTGAAAGGTGCTGGTGAATGTTTCCCTGTTTGTTAATCAGGTAATAGCATGGTGCTCTGAATAATACCATCACTGTGCTATTGACAAGTGTTTAGAGTAACCATCACTAGTGTCACTGTTGTGTAATAATACCCTTAAGGAGGTATAAGTTTTGTATGTTGTAAATGATAACTGAAGATCTTTTGCTACTTATAAAGTATGACCTATTGGTCAGTAATTGAACCCAAGTTTTTGTTGTGAGTAATGGTTCAAATTATCACAGTATCCAGATTGTATTTTAATAAATATTGATTCAGTAGAATGTGTGTATCATTATCCATTCCTTCTAACGCTTTCCATCCTGAAATACACTTGATAACTCAAGTGCCTAACCTTTAATTGAGAGGTTGATGGTAGAGGTTATATTCTAAAGAAACGCCTGGATGGTGGCAGCTCAAAGATGTAAGTACAATAAGTTCTGTACAAGTATGTAATGCTAGACAAGGATGTGGTTCTTCCGATTAATCCCCAAAACAGAATATAACTAAAGGCATTTGGGAATATAAATAAACAGAGAAATAAACAAATAAGTAAGAGACATTGAAAAGAAATACAGTAAGTACGTTGAGAAAATGAATTAAAAGTTAAAAATAGAAAAACTTAGAAAAAAAATAAAAGGATACAACCAAGAAGGTTGCAGAAATAAAAAAATAAAAGTGCAACACACAAACATATAAAACTCTGCCCTCTTACAGCAGATCTTCACATTGCACAGTTTGACGGGATTACTAAAAATTATATTAAGAGGGTTTTGACTTACAAATACTTTTTAAGATCTCTCAGTTCAAGAAAAACACCTTAACACCGCCAGACCAACAAAAATATCAAGAATGACTGAACTAAAGCATAAACTGTCCCAAATATAGTAATATCTCCATTAGCTGAAATCCCTCAAACCTGGAACTCTCGATGGCGAATTGAAATTTTCCGGGTTCACATTTTCCGGAAAATTCCGGGGATAAGGATATTTTCGGGTTCGAGATGATGTAATGGTCAATTTCTGAAACTTCTGAGAAAAATTCCGTTCCGGAAAATTCCGGGAATGAGGATTTTCGGTTTTTGAGAAGAATTGTCTCGTTACCGAAATCTATGATTCCCGGATGTGTTCTGCACCAATTGTTCCGGTAATGGGGATAGCACTGTATTTAGCAACATTGCATCAGTGCAAAAGTAATGATAAGAAAGTAACAATAAGGAAGATCAAATTATATACGAAGTCACACTGTCATCAGTGTGACTAGTCTTCAATGTTTAAAACCCAAATTAAAATTTGGATGACAGAATTATGAAGTCAAAAATTTTGGAAAAGGTCTCAACAACCAAGGTTTCATGAGGGTGGGGACAAATTAACAGCTGACTTATAGGAAAATTGCTCTTTGGCCCACCTTGAGGGTCAACACCAGAGAAGAGAATGAAGAAGATGGGGTGGATGGCCGGACTCCTGGTAACTCTGAGAGAAGTCAATGTTTTCTCCTTCCACATTTCCGACCCATACGTTCTTCAATGAATAACCTTTAAAGATAATAGAGATATAAATGTCAACCCCAACCCTGTACAGTTGTGAGGTACTTTAGTCAGAAGTGAGCAAGGACCAACTGGGTCAAGAGATGCAGGAATGACTTGGGGATAGGTTGTGAGAAACTACTTGAAAGAGGCTGCAAGCCCTGTATTATGACTACCATCAGAGAATTACGATTAACCCATGCAAGCATCAAATATGGCCGTAGAATGTTGGTGACGACAGGGATAATTGTAACCCTCTTCTTAGATATCACACCCTGTCTTAAGATATATGCTTATCTCTTTATCTATCTATCTGACTCCTTCTCTCACCTTCCTTCATTTCTCACTCCCCACCATGCCCAGGGTTACTCACTGCATGGCGTGGGTCATGCGGTCTGGTCAGGTGCCCTCATGATAACCAGCCGCTGCATCAGAGCGACTCTTCCACTCGCCAGGCAGCTTTCCTCTCCGGACATTCACACTCACAGTACATCCGCCACCGCTTTACGCTGTTCTCTATGTCCCGGTCCAAGTTCCTGTGCATACATGGTTGAGGTGAACACTATCACTAGTATACTAACTTATATATTACAAAATACTGTATATGACTGATATTTATAGTTTCTATGAATGACATGATATAACCGACTTTCATTATATTTACTATTAATTACACCTCTGACTTTATTTGTAAGTTATAAATGACATAATACATGATTGATACTCTTCTGTATCCTGTAAAATCAAAACATATGACAGACACTATCTCTGTACTTATGAATGAGAGAACATATAACTGACACTGTGTTACATCTCGTAAATGAGAATATAAAACTAAATCCTTTCTTAAGCTCACAAACAATACGTCAAATGTGTCCTCAGTACTACTGGATCTAAACTAAACTTAACCTATCCAAACGTGGAACAAGAATCCATTGGTATTAAGATCCATTATTGATTAGAATAAATTTGTATTGAATGGACCTCATTATAATTGATACAGGGTAGTTGAGGCTGGCTATAAAGATAAAATGAGGTCCAGGGTTTGTAATGACTATATACAGTACATTTTTACCTAAAAAGAAATATTGAGACTTAAGATACAGCATTTTCTCTGTAAAAGCACAGCACACACACATTATAGCTTAGAAAAAAAACAGAAATTAAGGATAAATCAAAGCGTCAGACCTGAACTCGTCCACCTGGGAGAGAGGGTGATGGCTCCCCATGGTAAGGAAGTCTATGGAGGACACCACGTTGGGCTGGATGGAACCTCAGCAACAGGTCCAGCTCCATCACCCCACCTCTGAGACGCCAACACCTGTGAGCCATAAACATTAGGTAAGACGCCAGCACCTGTGAGCCATAAACATTAGGGAAGACGCCAGCACCTGTGAGCCATAAACATTAGGTAAGACGGCACCTGGAGCCATAAACATATAGAGTATGTAAGACACCAGCACTTATGAATCATAAGCACTATGCTAGACACCAGCACTTATTAATCATAAGCACCCAGTGTGACACCAGCACTTATTAATCATAAGCACTATGCAGACACCAGCATCATGAATCATAAGCACTATGCAGACACCAGCACTTATTAATCATAAGCACTATGCTAGACACCAGCACCTATGGAATCATAAGCACTATGCTGGACACCAGCACTTATTAATCATAAGCACTATGCTAGACACCAGCACTTATGAATCATAAGCACTATGCTAGACACCAGCACCTATGAATCATAATATGCTAGACACCAGCACTTATTAATCATAAGCACTATGCTAGACACCAGCACTTATGAATCATAAGCACTATGCTAGACGCCAGCACTTGTGAATCATAAGCACTATGCCAGACACCAGCACCTATGAATCATAAGCACTATGCTAGACACCAGCACTTATTAATCATAAGCACTATGCTAGACACCAGCACTTATGAATCATACACTATGCTAGACACACAGCACTTATGAATCATAAGCACTATGCTAGACACCAGCACTTATGAATCATAAGCACTATGCTAGACACCAGCACTTATGAATCATAAGCACTATGCTAGACACCAGACTTGCAAGCACTATGCTGCACACCAGCAATTATGAATCATAAGACTATGCTACACACCAGCACTTATGAATCATAAGCACTATGCTGAACACCAGTATTGTGAGTCATGAACATTCTGTGTGATCGCCTGAACTATAACGAATACTTGTACCTATAATTGTAAACACATAAATAGATATAATACAGTCACTAGTCTGAAAATAAGCAGGTCACTAACGCTCTATTGCAATGCATTAACGAATACAATTTATCCCAACATTGAGAAGAATTACAATAATCTGTTGAAGGAAAATTTTGACCACTAGCCTGAAAGGTCATCTGGGCGGCAAAGATGAGTTTGTCCTTCTGAAAAGCCCTCGTGGTGTACAGAAACACACTGTGAGTGATGGTGTCGATCAACGCTACACCTCTAATCGCACCTCTTCGTTGGCCTCCGAGCGTTCAATGGCTTTTTGGAACACTACTCTGAACGCCTGATGGAAGAAAACATTCTTTACACACACAATAGAAACTAAACAGATAGTCATAGGGTTCTACTGTCATATGATGGATCTGTAAGCTTTATACAACAGCAATGATTTTAGACCCTTAAGAACTGTTTGGGTGACAACATATAATGGTATATAAGAGGTGCTGTTTAAGTTCAACTATGATACAAAGTGATTTTTATCTTCTAATTGATGAATTCAGTGGATGAAAAGATAATTTAGTTATAACCATATTGCACTAGCTGACATGTGCAGTGTACATAATGAACATTGCAGTAAATACACAGCAGTTCTTATTCAAAGTTCATACAATTTATATTAATTATATGAAGGCAACTCTACTGGCAGCCAAGAACATCGTTTGGCTATCTAACCAACATGTTAAACTTCTGGCCTATCTAGGGTCCTGACTCACAAAGATTATGATGACATTTTATGTAAATACGGAAGACCCTTTATAGAATTAATAAATATAGTACTCTAGAATACATCGGATTAGGTGTCCTACCTTATGAGAACTGGTATATAGGGTTAATCTTGTGAAGGTCGTTGAGATGAAGTAGAGGAGGGAGGCGCGGCGCAGCAGGACGATACAGTTCCTTGCCTCGTCAATTTGCACACTGGTAACTCGAGCCTCTGCTACCTGCCACATACAGTACACACACACCACAATGAACGCATTTATCTTTTGTATACTATTTACCACCGCTTGTACACAAACAAAACATAATGAAATTTAGGCTAACTGAAAGAACTTTCTGATCATCACCAAATGATGCAGCTTATGGCCAATTTTAATATCCCTTGTATCATAATCACATAGCTTATATATTAATTTATATGCTATAAACCAAATAAATCGATTATATCAACTACAATTTTAATCATTTTAGACATAAGAAAGCAAAATAACGATCACTATCAAACCTTTTCGGATTTCTGGGCAGTGGCTTTGTGTTCCAGGGTTCTCCACCAAAGCTGTGTCTCCCAGGAAGTTCCCATCTGCCGAAGACAACCGACTCAGGAGGTCGTCTTCAAGGTGCTTTAACTGGATCTTGAAGTCGTTCTGTTGCTTTGTCAAATTGTACTGAAGATCCACAGTGAGGAGAGGATTAGTTACATGTACAGTCACCACAAATATTCATACATTTATGGCTCTTGTGTGGGTTAAATTATCTAGTAACACTTTCAAAGAACTGTCAGGATTCCAAAATAGTCCCTTATCTATGTAATTTTTCATGTACTTTATGTGTTATGAATACATTTGCTGTGCATATTGTATTTGAACAGTGTCTTGAGAAATAATCTGGTATGTCATATTATTTCATTTCAAAGTATACAAAATTTAACTAAATGATTTATTCTTACATTATTCTCATGAAAAATTGTTTTAGCAATTATTGAGTAATTGTTACTATTTCACAACATTGCATTCCGCCTAAATTAAATAAAATAAAAAATAAAAGACTCTGATAGTTGTCAGATACCACTTTCTGATTGAAAGCTTCTGAAAACAGTGACATCGTTTATTTAGGCGATTGTACAGTACAACGCACCAGCATTATTTTAAATCAACTCTTTCTAAACAAAACTCATACCTTCAGCTCTTCAAGGTCTGGTCTCTCAGCCTTGACCACCTCGGCCAGAGCTGGTCCTCGAGTCCATCCCTGGTGACGGTGAAGTTGATGAGGGTACACTGAGCCTGTAGCTCAGGCTTGTAGTGAGGATTAGCCAACTTGGTGTGGAGGATCAGTTGGAAGGTCGGGTTGTACTCGATCTCGCGATCACCGATCTTCAGCGCTCTGTGATGGAGTTTCTATTGAGGAAGACTATAATAGGATAGACTCTCCTTATATCAAGAGATTGAAAAAGACTTCTAGGCGTATAAAGTAACATACTCACCCTATGCAACTATAAAGCATGCATAGATTACTTGTACATCTTTATTTAGATAAAATATAGAAATTAATGGATATAGTAAATAGCAGAACGTTTAGACAATTTACTCCACGAGAGGAGGCAGTCAGGCATATAAGCTAATTGTAGTAAACTGCAACTAATGGAGTGAGCTGTAAAGTGATTTACACTAATTTGTTGTAGATATATTTTCTCTTGCAACCTAATGATTTGAAATTTTATTTATACAAGGATAGATGTAGTAGGCCCCACAGGCAGTACGGATTCAACACACTGAAAACTAAGCATTTATTCACATGGAACAACGTGTGTGTGTGTACACTCGACCGCATAGACTATCCCAAGTACCAATATTGATATGAGGTGAGCCCTGTATCCTCTTGACTGCCACACCCTGAGAGCCATAACTATGTATAACTCAACCCCATTACAATGAAAGACAAATTCAACAGTGTGGTTCTCATACTGGTCACAGTTGAGGAGACAATGTGTAGTTTACATTCGGTGTAGGCCAGTATCAGTAGTACAGCATAGCCATTTATTACCAGTTGTTTGCAAAAAACAAATTGGTTCTATAAAATCAATCTCAACCTAGGTTGATATCCTAGGATTGACTCATAATTCCATGGTGTACATGACACGCCTAGAATTAGTGTAGGTCACATTTTGGTGGCAAACTCTTGTATATACAGTACCTGCACTAGTCCATCACACAAAAGAAAATGTATACTATATGATTATGACATGGTTAAGTAGTTTTATATACAGTATATATATCACCATATCTAGGTTAAGTCAGAAGCTTCATTGTACTTGTACCACATGGGAATGACCGCATCTATAACATATAAGTCAACATGTTATGACTTAATTTCCAAATGAGACATCGGATTTTAAATCCGATTATTATGCAATTTTTCTAAAAAGAATTGAAATCTCACCGTCCACGCTTGATGAGGTTTTTGCCTATTAGAGGTCAAGAACTGGGTCAAGGCTCTCTGGGAGGTTCTCAATGAGAACAGTGCTGCCCTTGGTGATGGCAACTTCCAACTGGTCAGACAGTTCTTTTGGTCCAGACCTTGCCCACCAGGGCGTCGCCGTACCTGCCTTGATCCACTTGATTCCTTGTAGCTGCAGTGAGGTTCAGGAAGATCATAATTAGTACCGGTACCAAAAAGAAAAACTTAAGGTAAATGTTTGTGATACTACTACTACTACGAATAATAATAATAAAATAATAGTATTGCATAAAAATGGCCCAAAATCATAAAATATCAAGATCACTGCTGATAACTGGTAGCTTGTAGTGGACGTCTCCCCTACAACTGCATAGCTGCATCCCACCTGCTACGTCTTCCTAGCAACCAAACTAGCGGCCCAAGAGGGGGCGTCACCAGATGCCACAGTATCCTAGCAACAGAGCCAAAAGACCGGCTACTTCTGGGTTTTCCCACCATGACTCACAGATGACTCAGGCTGCTGTGTATATAAGCTCTGTCTCTCCATTGAGATTCATTCTGGCCTCTCTTCTTGAACACCGGAACACCTCCTCCTCCGGCTGCCTGGCGGCCCTTCTCCTGCCTGGCAGTCCTCGCTCCCGCCGGCGAGCATGGCGACCCACCAGCTGTCCTTCTGAGCGTCCTCACCAACCAGCTCTCTCATTCTGCTCTGGTTCCTGAACACGCAACACCTCCTCCAAGCTCTGTCCTGTTCTCATTCAACCTGGAGGCCAGCAACAGGCAACATCTTCTCAACGAAGCTCCTGCACATCTACCTCCTTCAACACGCTACTCACCGAACGTGTCTACTGAGCAGCTCTCACCACACGGCTCCTCCAGCACCAGACTGTCTACCATATAACTTATATTATATAAGAAAACCACCTTAGAGTTTCCATCCATCCTGAGTGCTAGACAACCTAATATCCATTAACCTACAAATGGTGACTCCCGGAGATTACTCTTCACAGGATGGAGGAAAACTGAATCACGCTCAGTCTTCAAGCAGTATAGAAGACTGGCTTATCCACAGGCAGCTCTGCTACTCAGACACCAGCTCCTCTTCCTGCCCCAAGCACCACATCCTACTGACCCCCCACACACCGTCCTGCCTCAGACGCAGACCCCGGCCCAGCAGTAACCCCTGCCGCCCCTGGCGCGGCCTCTGTTCCTAGTGCGGACCCACACACCCTCTTTTCTCCCTCAGGTACTCCCTGCTAATGTCCTGCACCCTGCTGTCGTGGACCCAGCTGCTGTCACTAGCCTTATCCGCTTCTGCTGACGCAGCCCCTGCTCCTGACCCAGGCCCCCACACCCCAGCAGGCGCATCTGACGACTCAGTACCTGCGTGAGGAAGCACAACATTCACCTCCACACACCCCTCTTTTCTCCCTCAGGTACTCCCTGCTAATGCCTGCACCCTGCTGCTGTCGTGGACCCAGCTGCTGTCGAGCCCTTATCCGCTTCTGTGACGCAGCCCCTGCTCTGACCCAGGCCCAACACCCCAGCAGGCGCATCTAACGACTCAGTACCTGCCGTGAGAAGCACAACATTCATCGCCTCACCCTCTTTTCTCCCTCAGGTGCTCCTGCTATTGTCCTGCCCTGCTGCTGTCGTGGACCCAGCTGCTGTCACTAGCCTTATCCCTTCTGCTGACCGCAGCCCTGCTCCTGACCCAGGCCCCCACACCCCAGCAGGCGCATCTGACGACTCAGTACCTGCCGTGAGGAGCACAACATTCATCGCCTCCACACCCTCTTTTTTCTCCCTCAGGTACTCCTGCTAATGTCCTGCACCCTGCTGCTGCTTCGTGGACCCAGCTGCTGTCACAGCCCTTATCCTCCTGCTGACAGCCGCCCCTGCTCCTGACCCAGGCCCACACCCAGCAGGCGCATCTGACGACTCAGTACCTGCCGTGAGGCACAACATTCATCGCCTCCACACACCCTCTTTTCTCCCTCAGGTACTCCCTGCTAATGTCCTGCACCCTGCTGCTGTCGTGGACCCAGCTGCTGTCACAAGCCTAATCCGCTTCTGCTGACGCAGCCCTGCTCCTGACCCAGGCCACACACCCCAGCAGGCTCTGACGACCCTGTACCTGTCGTGAAAGCACAACATTCATCGCCTCCACACACCCTTTTCCTCCTCTCCTCCACAGATAGTGTGTATATTGACAGTTGTATCAGCAGCCGGCTCATTCACGCCATCGCCGTTGTCTCACATGAGGCATGCACCGCCCGTTCTGCCTCACATGTGCTAAGCAACTCTACAGACAACAAGTCTCCTACACCGCCTGGAGAAGGGGTATTGTAGTGGACGTCTCCCCTACAACTGCGTGGCATCCCACCTGCTACGCCTTCCCCTAGCAACCAAACTAGCGGCCCAGAGGGGCGTCACCAGATGCCACAGTATCCTAGCAGAGCCAAAAGACCGGCTACTTCCGGGTTTCCCACCATGACTCACAGATGACTCACGGCTGCTGTGTATATAAGCTCTGTCTCTCCATTGAGATTCATTCTGGCCTCTTCTTGAACACGGAACACCTCCTCCTCCTGCGCTGCCTGGCGGCCTCGCCTCCTCCGCCTGCCTGGCGGTTCCTCCCGCCCAGCCAGGCATGGCGACCCACCAGCTGTCCTTCTCTGAGGCGTCCTCACCAACCAGCTCTCTCATTCTGCTGTCGGTTCCTGAACACGCAATACCTCCTCCAATGCGCTCTCCTCGCTGTCCCGTTCTCATTCAACCTGGGCCAGCAACAGGCAACATCTTCTCTAACGAAAGCTCCTGCACTCCTTCCTTCCACGCTACTCACCAGACGTGTCTACTGAGCTCCTCACCACACGGCTCCTCCAGCACCAGACTGTCTACCATATAACTTATATTATATAAGAAAACCACTTTAGAGTTTCCATCCATCCTGAGTGCTAGACAACATAATATCACGTAACCCTACAAATGGTGACTCCGGAGATAAGCACTCACACAGGATGGAGGAGACACTGATCACGCTCCCAGTCTTCAAGCAGCATAGAAGAATGGCTTATCCACACAGAAGCAGCTCTGCTACTCTAAGCAGACACCCGCTCCTCTTCCCTGCCCCAAGCACCACATCCTACTGACCCAGCACACCTGTCCTGCCTCAGACGCCGACCGCCCAGCAGTAACCCCTGCCGCCCCTGGACGCTGCCTCTGTTCCTGAGTGCGGACCCACACACCCCTTTTTCTCTCAGGTACTCCCTTGCTAATGTCCTGACTCTACTGCTGTCGGGACCCAGCTGCTGTCACTAGCCTTATCCGCTTCTGCTGACGCAGCCCATGCTCCTACCCAGGCCCCCACACCCCAGCAGGCGCATCTGACGACTCAGTACCTGCCGTGAGGGAAGCACAACATTCATCGCCTCCACACACCTCTTTTCTCCCTCAGGTACTCCTTGCTAATGTCCTGCACCCTGCTGCTGTCGGGACCCAGCTGCTGTCACGAGCCTTATCCGCTTGCTGACGCAGCCCTGCTCCTGACCCAGGCCCACACACCCCAGCAGGCGCATCTGACGACCCTGTACCTGTCGTGAGGGAAGCACAACATTCATCGCCTCCACACCCCTTTTCCTCCCTCTCCTCCCACAGATAGTGTGTATATTGACAGTTGTATCCAGCAACCGGCTATTCACGCCATCGCCGTTGTCCACATGAGGCATGCACCGCCCGTTCTGCCTCACATGTGCTAAGCAACTCTACAGACAACAAGTCTCCTACACAGCCTGGAGGGAGGGGGGAGTATTGTAGGACGTCTCCCTCTAACTGCGTAGCTGCATCCCACCTGTACGTCTTCCTAAGCAACCAAACTAGCGGCCCAAGAGGGGGCGTCACCAGATGCCACAGTATCCTGGCAACAGGCAAAAGACCAGCTACTTCGGGTTTTCCCACACTGACTCACAGACTCCCGGCTGCTGTGTATGGCTCTGTCTCTCCATTGAGATTCATTCTGGCCTCTCTTCTTGAGCTTACAGGAACACCTCCTCCTCCGCTGCCTGGCAGCCCTCGCTCTCCTCCTCCTGCCTGGCAGTCCTCGCTCCACCGGCAGGCATGGCGACCCACCAGCTGTCCTTCTCGCGAAAATTCATACCGGCCATCTCTCCATTCTGCTCTCGGTTCCTGAACACGCAACACCTCCTCCAAACAGCTCTTCGCTGTCCCGTTCTCATTCAACCTGGAGGCCAGCAACAGGCAACATCTTCTCTAACGAAGCTCCTGCACATCTACCTCCTTCAACACGCTACTCACCGAACGTCTTCTACTGAGCAGCTCCTCACCACACGGCACCTCCAGCACCAGACTGTCTACCATATAACTTATATTATATAAGAAAACCACCTTAGAGTTTCCATCCATCCTGAGTGCTAGACAACATAATATCACGTAACCCTACAAGCTAAATAGGCAATTGGATCTTGTATCCCAATGTAAAATTAGTGTGTGAGTGTGTTTGTTTGGCTAAGACAACAAAGCAATAAGTATTCATGATGAAATATGTCAGGAAAATATGTCTGGGAATGAGAGGAAATTTTGTGTAGTAGATACGGTAACTTTGACTTAAACATGATATTATATGGAGACAGAACACGAGTTCTGACCTTCTTCCCCTCATGAAGAGAACCCAAAGGAGTCAAGGACACTCCCAGGCATGGGTGTATCCTAGCTGAACATTTAGAGCAATGCCTGCTGAGACCTGATGTACTGCGCACATCATTATTATCCTTAATATCTCTTTTATTCATATTACGCTACATAACATTCAAATCCACTGCGCTTGTAGTGTTACAGAAAACGGTAGACAACGGGAGATTTGGGTAAAGGATAACTCACCTACTGTATGTTGTTTTATACGAATTGTACCAAGGTACGGTCATATAATATTAAGTTTATGTACTCATAGCATTAAGGAGAACTCAAGGTATCTATAGGATGATTGGGAAGGTCCAATTGATACGGACTATAAGGGATAAGTGTAGATCGTGTTTGAAGGTCATACTATTTACGTCTGTGAACGATTAGTGAACATATTGTAACTACCACAAGTATCAGATGAAAATGTAAGAGAACAATGATCTGGAAAAAGGATAATGTATCAGACCTCTG